ACAACCCCCCTAAAGCCCCAAAAACCCAAAAGAAGAAAGAAAGAAAGAAGAGAAAAGAAGAAAAATAAATAAATAAATAAACAAATAAATAAATAAATAAACAAATAAATAAACAAAATAAGAAACAAACAAATAAGAACGCCCCCCCCCTCAAAAACTCAGAATAAGCATGTCATCATCTATTCGACATAAAACATCTCCAACTCCCCAAATACAAATAAACTCATTCAGATCTGACACCATCCCATAATAAACATCAGCTCAGCATCTGCAGAAGATAGAGAGATAGAGAAAGAGAGAGAGAGAGAGAGAGAGAGAGAGAGGGGAGGAGGAGAGAGAGAGAGGAGGAGGAGGAGAGAGAGAGAGAGTGTGTGTGTGAGAGAGAGAGAGAGTGTGTGTGAGAGAGAGAGGAGGAGGAGGAGAGAGAGAGAGGAGAGAGAGAGCTAGAGAGAGTGTGTGAGAGAGAGGAGGAGAAAGGGAGAGAGAGGAGGAGGAAGACTCGGAAAGAGAGAGAGAGAGAGAGAGAGAGAGAGTGTGTGTGTGTGAGAGAGAGAGAGAGTGTGTGTGTGTGAGAGAGAGAGAGTGTGTGTGAGAGAGAGAGGAGGAGGAGGAGAGAGAGAGAGAGTGTGTGTGTGAGAGAGAGAGAGAGTGTGTGTGAGAGAGAGAGGAGGAGGAGGAGAGAGAGAGAGAGAGAGCTAGAGAGAGTGTGTGAGAGAGGAGGAGAAAGGGACAGAGAGGAGGAGGAAGACTCGGAAAGAGAGAGAGAGAGAGGAGAGAGGGAGAGAGAGAGAGGAGGAGGAGGAAGAGGAGGAAGAGAGAGAGAGAGGGACGGGTCTCCTCCATTATCTCTATTTGAGGGATGGAGCTCAGGCCTTTTTCCGTCCATCTCCTGAGTCTGTGGCTCCCACACGTGCACGCCCGGGCGTGCATGTGCATGTGCACGTTCAGACGTGCACGTTCAGCCCCCGATCAATGGCCTCTTACGCAATATCCTCGTTGGCTAATAAGCTCGGCATTGATTTTCCCGTGTGAGGAGAGAGCCGTGTGAGGGGAAAAGAGCCGGTTTTCCCGGGTTTCCATGGAGATGCTCGGGGTCATCGGGGGTCACCGGGGGTTAAATTACTTTGGTTTTGGTTTGAATTCCTTATTTGGCCTTTTAAAATATATGTAA